AACATAATTGTCTTTTATGCTGTCTTGTCAATGTCAAAAGTCAAAAAAATAATGACGCTGTGGTTAATAAATAAGGTAGAAAGAACAATGATTATGCATGAATTTATCTTACTTTTCATAAATATAGGTACACTAATAGGAATTATGACACACTTAAGATTTCAGTTTTTAAATCGATTAAAGTTATTTCAACCATGAAAACGATTTTAAAGCTTGAGATTGCCACTCCCATATAGTTTGATTTATGCAACGCGACAACTAATTTTAACTGTATTTATGTAGAAATAACTATGATTTACTTACTCTCCCGTTAGAATACAACATTAGATTGCGACTTTGCACTGTGTTCGCGCTTCAGTTATCGAGTTTTAGTTTTATTAATAATTCATGAAACATCGGTCAAACACAATATTGTGGGTTAATTTCGAGCTTTTGAACTTAATTAAATTCGTTCGTAATATGGACGGAATTAATATAAGCACGTTTATACACACATGTTTGAAAGCTCAGTCATCCATTATTTGATTACTATTGACAGTAGAGGTATGCAACGATTTATTTAAATATTTGGTGAATTATTAATAAATGTCATAAAACTTTCGTACTCCTTTTAAATAAATAAGCGAATCAAAACTAAATATTTTCAATAACCCCTTTATTTATAACAACTTATTAAGTCTAACTGGACTTGTGGAAGGTGCCGCTCCGACCTTAGGGAGAATCCCCGAGCGGTCTAACCACTGACTCGCCGGCTTGAAGCCTCTGCAATCTTTGGCTACATACCACTTCATACACAGCGGCCCTGAAATGCGCGAACATAGTTATAACCTTTAATGATATATAGAACTTATGGATATCATAAATCAATCTAAATTGTTCTTTTTTGTGTTAAAAATATAATTACTTTATTATATTGCTACTAACAGCTCTCAACACATCTGCTCATAGTCTAGCTGACTGATTGCAAGATAAAGACTTATATAAAAAAAATATTAAAAAAAATATTGCTACTAAATAAATGTGATTGGGAATTTACAGGGTTACATTATAAAACATTAACTATATCAGGAGCCTAGATTTCATGTTTTTTGATGAATTCGGTTAGTAGGAATAAATAATAACAGACGACATTCAATCACAGGGCAACATGAATATCCTACGATTAAACATCTCATCAAAAGAAAGATAATGTTTTTGTTGTCAGGTAAATATCAATCAACTAACTTTATTCGAAAATTTCAAGTAAAATGACGTAGGGTATTTTTACTATATGAGTACGTATATGTCAAGAGGGATAAATAGTTTCAAGTTCCATACCGTAAAAGTAGACAGTTCATTAAGAGTCGACCACTTAATAAAATTTTAAGGCATGTTTATCGCGTCGTTCAAGATTTTTAGGGCGAATAAAATTTTATGTACCCATTAAAGTAAAAGGAAAATCGACACTTTTAATATAAGCACGAAAACATCGGCTAAGCCTTAAATTTAATCTTCCCACTAGGTGTCTCCCACCAGTTTTGTATGAAGGTCGTGTATAATCCAAGGAAAACTGTTCCCATTTTTTAAGACAGCACACTATGACAGGAATTTTATGGTACCTGTCCACACGCTGGCCTTGTAATAATAATTATTTTATAAAGTTGTATTAAAACTAAATATTATTCAAAAATCTAAATCTAAACCAAAATACGTTTATCAATTAAGATGCGTCTTAGGGCATGCTTATAAATGTCAAAACGTTTACAAACTTCGCGAAAGAGCAAGACTACGCCATCCGTTCGCAAAACTACCAGGAGGCCTTGTTCTGAGAAGAACGGGCAAGAAACTCAAGTTCCTTCCTCTAGATTTCAATTATTCAAAAGAAAATGTCATAAATCACAACGTCATTAAAGCTACATAAGCAAAAAAATATAAAAATCTGTTCTGTGATTTACCACATTCACCATTACACACCTATTCACAACACTTCAAAGATAACAAATCAAATTATAAGAATATAATTAGAACTATTGCCTTAAGCTAGCTTGACTGATGATACTTAGGCCCATAAATGAAGTAAACGAAAGTATAACGAAACGCTTATTGCTCAAAAACTAATTCATAAATACGTTACATTCCGATTTAAAATACAATATTTTAAAAGAGTTTTATTGTTTAAAGTTCTTCAAAAGTAAATATTTAAATCAGAAGGTACTTTACTAACTAAACCTTGTTGCATTATTTTACAAACAATAGTCCCCAAAAGAAGGTATTTCTTTGTAGTGGGTGACCAGACTTAGATAAGTTTGAGCGTGCGTAATATACGAGTATTAAGGTGCGCTTACACGGGCAACTAAAATTGCTCAATTCCAGTCAATACTCGTCAACGATGACGTCACGACTACATCAAGCAATTTACGGCAACGGCAACAAGCATCAATACTGCGCAATACAATATTGAGCGATATGGCGCAACTTCATCAACTAGGCAATACTGTCCTACACGAGCATTTCAGTATTCGCTCGCTATGGACGACATTGTTCTTGCTGCGGCGGCTTGTAGCGCTTTTATTATTATTAATCAAAAACAAAAAGAAAAAAAAGGAATAGGCGTATCTGGGTGCGATCGTTTTTGGCCGCAATTTTCATTGTGTAAAGAATTAGATGATATATTATTCAAAAACTTTACTAGAATGTTACGAACAGACTTTGAATTACTTTTGAATAGAGTAATTAGAAATTATTATTATTTAGACCTCTCGCTCTCCCCGCGGAAGCAAGACGGCAAGCCGCAAAACAAACAAGTGCGAATAAGATATTTACAAAAATTGCTAGGAATTTCCAAGTCCATTGGATATTCGTCAATTCGTATCTGCGACATTGAGCGATATGAAATATCTGGAGCAATTAGAAGCAATATCGCCGAAATAATTTATTGAAATTGCTCCATTAATTGCTCCAGATCGGTCCATTCGTGTCGCCGAGCAATTATTGCCCTTGTGTAAGCGCACCTTAAGGGTTTGTATGCACGTGGTTGAATATGGAAATGGCTCTAGTCTCCGTAAGTCTACGGAGACTGAGACACGGAGACAGTTGTCTCACCTCAACCCAAGCCTACATTCAAAAAATGCAGCTATCACAGCCAAGTTGATAATCGAGCGATTTTCGATACCTTCTGTGGAATGTTCCTCTGGATTTTTATAACATATAGAAAACTATACCGAATAATTTTTTTCCTTGATTTATACACTAAACAAATATTGTATTCTAAATTAGAAGCTTGTATGTTTGTTAGAAGTTCCTTCAAGTTTTGATGATCGGTTCATCAGTCAGTGAGCCAGTGATAAAATTAGGAAACTTTGACTAGTTATTATTTTGAAATTACTAGTACAAATTGAATATAATTTCAAATACACCGTGTTTATACAATGCGTTCTCAGAGGCTGAGCTGGGCAATTTCAGGCTTCTAGTTTTATCCCGAACGAAATATTATAGGGAGTCGAAAATGATTTTTTTGTTTGTGTGACTTGGTGGCGGAAGTGTCGTGCCCTCATACAAGTACCTGTCGAAATAATAATATTAAAATATAAAAAAAAAACAAAAATGACCCACAAAAATATCTTGTTCCTAGTTCGACATACACACCGAGACACCTGTTTTTGACATCGTATTTCACTGGCATAAAGTTTTAAATTTTAATTATTTAAAAATTATATAGTATATCCATTGCAGAATTGAATTTTACTGGCAATTTCAATAATATACTGTAAAATGAATAAATTTCTTGTATTTTGGACTTTGTATTAACGATAAAAGGATTTTGTACGGTTTACAACCGTACGGGTATTTGCAATGTAAATGACACCATGCAATACGATTTACTAGTGTATTCATTTTCATTATATTTTATTATATTCACTTAAGTTAGTTCGCATTCAAACGTCGTACCGGGCGCTACTCTTATCCCAATCTCATCTCATCCCACTAGTTTAGTCCATTGCTCTTTAAATATCTTAATAATTTATCCTAACCCCGAACATTGTACCGAGGTCACGAAGTGAAGAGATGTAGACTGTAGAGGTTTATTGCCTTTCTAAGACAATGTGATTAGGATAAAAGAGGTGTGTCCATAAATCGTCGTTCTAGATGTATTCTTTTGATACAGGTATCAGTATAACACAAACACTAAGCTCGAAAATTATGTAAAAGCACACACGCCCTGATGGTAGGTTGAAGACATTTTTCGGTCTTTAATAATCAAGGATTTAGAGACTGACTTAGTAAGTAAGCTTTTCATATACCATACTTACAATAATTTCTGCCGCTGCCGGAATTATTACCTTAAGTACATCTTGCTGCAATTTCGTAGCCAGGAAGAGTTCAACTCTCAAAGAGTTCAACGTCAACTCTTTACTCATTTAACATAGCAGAGGTATGAGCAACGTAATTGCATACTCACGATGCCCACTTCCAAGTGTGCAGTGACTTGAGCATTTCTATATCCAACATATGTCTTCACTTTAATTCAAAACATATGTAATTAAAATATAAGACAGGTTTACCAGCTGCCCTGCGATTCTGTAACTCACTTTTCGAATGCCGCCGATGCGAAAACCGCTGTGTGAGTTCGAAAAGTGAGTTACAGAATCGCAGGGCTGTTAATTGATGATTGTAAACTTTTTATACGGAATCTATACATAATTATTTTTTATAATTAATACCTATAAAACAATATGAAAATTAAGGAACACAGCTTACTGAATTTAAAGTTCAAAGTAATGTAATAAAATTCTTGATACCGGCCTTATAGCTACCACATACACAACTACAATAATGATTCCACATCCTATTTTAATAATGAGTTTTTTTACCACGTTATTCGAAGAAATACATCTAATCTGATCCAATCGTCTTAATTATTGCAATCGGCACTTTGTTAGTAAGCATCAATGACAGTGAATTATCGAGTCAATCACCCAACATCGGTATCGGTGTATGCCCTGCTGAAGTACACAATTAAAATGAGAAATTATTTACAGGAATGTTCCGTCTTCATGTTTGACAAGCGAGTGGTGGACAAGCTGTATCGTCCAAAGCGCAAAGAGCTTATGCTGGACTGCATCAAGAACTGCATAAGTGAGCTACACACACTTGCTCACCCAAAAATGTTGCAAATTTTGCATCCAATAGAAGAAAGTACATACACCGTGGCTTTTGCATCGGAAAGAATTTATGCGAGTCTTCACAATATCCTCGCATGGCATGTAAGTTCTTTCAAGTAATAAATATTATAGCTTTAAAATAAAATTACTTTATTTTTAACATCACTTGTCACAGCCTCTACCACTGTTACTGGAAATCACTCGTCTTATAATTATTCATCGTATGCCAAACACATTCTTGACTTTATTGTGAAATTATTGACATCAATGGAATGACGACTATTTACGACTGGTTACGAATTTGTTTTCGTCTAGATGTAGCTGTAGTAGAGAGTAGACGAGGGACTACTAATTACGATATAAAATAGGACTATGTCCAATAACACCTTTCTATTATTTTTAAAAGGTCCCAAACTTTTAGCTTTCGGATTGTTTACGAAACATTATTACACGGCCCTAAGACCTTTTTTGCTTCATTGTATTCTTTGAAGTGATTACTTTTATCCATTTTCAACAAAGCTGATAATGTGTTCCCATTACAACCATTTAGATTCATTCATTGCCTCGGTAAAGAATCAATTAACTGATGCTCAATATACGGAGAACTAAAAGTAAAAATTGGGAAATACTCGTAGGTATTTTTGGTTTTAAGTATAACTTAAATGTTATGTATAAATGCAATACAATTAAAATATCACTTATAATTTTTTTCACTTATTTTACTGAATCATAATAAAATTAATAAACAATATGACATAAACGTTTATTAATTTAAGTTAAGTGACACTCATGTCACTTAATAGTACACTCATGTCATGTAATACTTTCTAGTATATCTACTTATACGTAAGTATGTTAACAGTCATATAAAATTATAACAGATAAATCTGGAAATATCAGAAATAATTCTAATAATAATTGGAAGATACATCCGGATAAGAACGGAAACATCATATCTAATTAAAACTAATTGTTTCCGGTTATATCAACCGGAAACAGGAAATCAACCTTGTTACTTTCTATATCTACGGTCCGTAGCGAAGCGTAGCATTATATCGCTACGTCGTAGCAATTGTTTTATTTCTCATCACCATAATTATAATACTAAACGTCGAATCTTATATTTATTACCATGTTTTCAGTGTTTTACTGAATTTTCGTTTTAACTAAGATTCTGTAATGTCTACAATTATATTTTTCTAAAATAAAAGTAAACAATTTACTATTCAAATTATTTTATCGGCATTTGGTTTCATATGAATTGCATTCGTGCAAGTACTAAGAGGCAATACAGTCAATCAATCACTACCTTTCCCGTGAGATATATTACTCTTAGTGGATATTGATGGAGGAGTTTTTAAGCCGAGAATACTGGACATCGATCATTAATAACATGCTTTTTATGTACATCTAACGGAGTGCATAATAACTGTATATGTTTTTGTTTCATTTATGTCCGCTTTTTCAAATATTTACGTTCGACTACATAATTTACAGTTCAGTGTTGAAGTATGTACGTGCGTTAAAGTTTATACAAACAAAAATTCCTCAGCAATAATTTCTTTACTTTTTGTCAATCAGAGATAATAAATTTAAATGCATTAGGTATGTGAAAAAAATAAATAAAGGTATATTAAAAATTAATGATTATTTTAAAATTATAAAAAAAGGAATGCTGTTGAAATATATATATACTTAAGTAAACTGTCATAATGAAAACTATTTATACTTAGTCTAAATATTTTAAATGCATATTTAAAATTATTATTCGAAATGTTTACTTACGGAAATCATTAATTCAGTTATTCTATTTTTGAACAGCTTTTTATGTCTACATATATAATTTTAAAACAAAACAGATTCTATTTTATGAAAATTAAAGTAGTCATTATTAACGTACTAAGACATATTATTTGTGACATTGTGATCTCGATATGTATTAAAAGCCTGATTGATATAGAAACAAAAATAACTTTTTAAAATCGTTACAATAATAATATTAATTGTTTTGTAATCACAAAACTCAGTCAACTATTGCATACTTTACAAACAATATGACGGAACAAAACTTAAAAGAACCAGATCTTCGTCGTAAAATACCAACCTCAAAAAATTACATAAGGTCTGTGTGACCTAGGTCCACGGCCCTTATAAGAATAAAATAACTTTTGAAAATCCTCATAAATGCATACTTTAAAACAAGAAAATAAATTTTAACTTAACACCGAGTTCTAAAAAGACTCTTTTAAATTTCGTGTTTAAAGACAATCACATAAATGATCATTTTATAAATAAATTCAACAATTCAAAGAAATAAATTCAGATAAGATATAAGTTATTAAATTTTATTATTACACTTGTAACATTTACGTAAACATGAATGATAGTTGTTACATGGATAATAATATGTAATAAACATACTGACATTAAAAAAAATCGTAACTAAATGTAACTTTTTTTCATTATTGCATCGTAGGAATCCTGCCCCATTGATCCAGAGGGTCCATTCCCTGTGATTCCGAACCCCAACCACCTGGGTCCACCTACGGTAGATCCGATGCCAACGAGCAGCACCACCAGGCCACCCTTCGCTAGGGAATATCACTTTCTGGATCTTGAGATACGACATGGATTTCATCAGGTTCGTAAAATGCACACAATGTATGCAATAATACTCGTACAAAAACCACGTGCTGTTTATGAGCTTAAGTGTTTTTTTTGGATGCCCATTAAGTATCAGTAGAGATATTTTAGTTCTTTTTATGTATAATATTAAAATGTTTAATAATAATGATAAAGTACTTATTTAAATTGCGATACTTGAACGATTTTTACAAAAAAGAAAGGGTCTATATCGACGTATTACGTACGAAGTATACAAATTGTTTTATATCTCACGCACTCCACATAAGAATAGGCTTAATCAATTAAAGATATCACACCAATATTTCTACCAATGTATTTATAGATCGCAACAATTGAGCAACTAATGATTTAATTTCGTGGCCGCATGTTACCAGCGATACACGATAGCAAGAATAGCAAAAGTTTAAGTGTGGGATTGTGCAATCTGAAACAGCCGTAGAATAACAAAAAAACCTTTTACTCAGTGTAAGTTAGTTTACACCAAATATATTACATAGCATAACTACAATTCGTTGAGTTCGGTGTCTCAAATATATCTTGGCAATTAATATTAGATTGCTTACTTGTAATTATAAAAATAATATATCTATAAACTGGGGTTTCCCAAAATTCCAATTCGCTTATAATACAATATCGCTTAATTAATATATATTTATTAAGAGCAGTGTTGGCGTCTTGGGCTAGTGGCTTGAAGATGCAACTTGCAACTATGAGATCCTGTCCAATAAAAAGTTGCACGGTGTATTGTGAACTTCAAGATCGAGAGCTCCAGCAATCTTCTTAGTAATAGTAGCGATTTACTAAGGTCCTAAAGGAGGTTCTTATTCCAAACGTATGAGATTAGACTAATATTATTTGTCCCAATCTATATTTCGCTTTATTATGGTTTTGTATAACGTTGCGGAAAATACTGGTGATGCCCGAAATAACCGCAGAGACTTCGCTAAATAGTATGTCATACCTATAAATTATTTAAGAATAAATGCAGTATACAAAGCATTTGTTGATAATTGTATACAAAGCATTATCAATAAAGTCTATTATATATATCTTACTTTAGATAGTAAACTCCAGTGGGGCCGACAAATAGAAGGTCTTTTAAATAGGCTAAGTTCTGCAGCGTTCGCAGCAAAAAAGATACGCGATCTTACGGATGAGAATATAGTAAAGCTCGTTTATTTCAGCTATTTTCATAGTATTATGTCATATGGTGTTATTTTGTGGAGTAATGCATTAAATCGATATTTGTTATGCAAAAGCGGGCTGTTAGAACGGTCTGTGGGTTGTCCCCACGGGAGTCAGTCCGAAGGAAGTTTAAAGAATTACATATTTTGACTTTGGCAAGACAATACATTTATGAGAATATTTTGAATGTGCGGAAAAATATACATATCTATAAAAATAATAGTAGCTTCCATAATTATAGTACTCGTAATAAAGACAAAATTAGCGCACCAACAAGAAGGCTGCATAAAATGAGTAATTCTTTCTAAGGCAATTTAATTGTATACGTTTTTTTAATAAAATCCCTAGTGAGATACATGTGTTGTCAATAAATAAATTTAAATCGTACTTTAAAGTAAAACTGCTTGCTAAGGCCTATTATAATATAAATGAATATTTAAACGAAAGTGCTTGGACATGAGTTGCTCAATGCTCCAGTATAAATAGGTAACGCGACTGAATCTCTCGGCTGTATTTCCAGATTCTGGGGCGATCGTCAACATCCACGACTGTTTTAATGTAAAGTGGGAACAAACCGTGATCCATGTGGTATCAAATTATTTCAGAATAAGTAGTATTATTATTATTTTCTTATGTAGCCAAGTTCACATTTCAAGGATCGTCATGCTCGCTTAAATGTCATTGCTTGTGGCGGCGTCCATGCGTCGGGTTGTCTCTCCCTAAAATATGGTGAGGGGGCCGATGGCTGGCCATGCGTCATACTCGTGAACGGGTGCTACTTGTGGTGACTGTATGTACTTGAATTCGTGTATGCGGTGATATTAGTTATTTCGACTATGTGTTTGCGTGTTGTTCCTACGAGAATGTAAGTGCGTGCTCCTATTTCACCATGCCTCCTGCTGATAGAGGACAAGTCTTTGTTTTTAATTTATGTTATTATTATTTATTACTTAAGATGTCATGTGGAACATGGTGTAATGGTTGCAGCTCCTTACAAACGTTGTGTAAAAAAAAAACATGACGATTAAAAACTGTGTCGGAGAGTTTATTGCCAGTTCTTCTCTTCCGTTCTACGCCCTTTATTTGAGAACTGGCACTAAATGTAAAGTTAGAAGCATTTTATATAATTTTTTTTTAAGGTTCATAAGTATACATTGTGTTACCTATATGATTAAATGATTTTTTACTTTTGCATAAATTTGTACATATATACAATGACATGAATTTTAGATCCAACCCAACGTTAAAAGTTTGTTATCTTATCGTAAATTTTATTCACAAATGACATTATTCCACTGTTAGAGACAGCGTAGCATTAGCGTACTGGTTATTACAGTATATACAAAGGAGTGGAAATAGTCAAATTAAAAAATAGACATACTTTATGTCTTAGCCCATTTCAATCCAAAACAATTATATTGGAATCGAACCCCCGGTTTTGTATAGTGTAGGCACTGGCCGTAACAAACCAAGATGGATAGCTCTTACAACCGAAGTTCCTTGAGGCTTTCAATAACATACATCTGTCTCTCTTTAGGGTATTTTTACATTTATCCATATTCTAACATAATTTTGGTTACAACGTATAACTTTCTGAACGTCTACAGATATCCGAGGCACTTCAATACATGCACTTGACAATGCGTAAGATGCATCGCAATGTTTGTCCCTTCAACGTCCTCGTGACAAAACGAGGCGTATGGAAGCTTTTTGGCCTCGAGTTCGCTGGTAAGTTATTTTTACTAAGTGCTTTTCAATATGTGGGCAATGACCCTGAAGGTCCATAGGGGGACACATGATTGTGAACTAAAACAAAAATATCGGTTGTCTGTAAAGTCGGTTTACTGACGATAGTTGAACGTGACAACGTCATAAGAAAATACTGATGGAATGGTTGCATTCTTCAAAAGAAAATTTTAATTTTATTTGTTAGATATATATTTTATATGATGATCAAGTTACATTTATTTGTACGCATAAATACAATTATGTCAATTTTTGTGTGCAAGCGAGAGCGCGGAACGAGTGCACTCGCTTGCACTTCAAGCCTTAAATGGAACGCCTCAAAGGTAACGCCGCATGAGTCATGTTTTTCGTGCGTGCAGCCGGCTCCATCGAATTATAAGACGTTGTCACGTCAAAAAAGATACATTTAAATAAGTAAGGTTCATTTAAATTTAGATTCAATCGTAAGTACATTGCCCTCGTAGATATTAACGTAACATGCAGTTTAATTACTATGGTGGCATGCAGTCAATTGCAATGGCAAAAAACCTATATAGGGGCAATTTAATGTTGTATTCCCGCTATCACCGTTTAGAATATTCGTCCATATTATTTCAAAAGCTCTTACGTACGTGTACGTCGATTGCGTGGTGTAAGTGTTCGATGATAAAATATTTTGGAAAATTGTTAAACACATAAGGATTTGTGAGAAATTTTTCATCCTTCGGATGTTGACCCAAAATTGGTTAAAAAAATCGGCAGTCTGTAAAGTCGGTTTACTGACGATAGTTGAACGTGACAACGTCATATGAAAATACTGATGGAATGGTTGCATTTTTCAAAAGAAAATTTTAATTTTATTTGTTTGATAGATATTTTGTATGGATTTAGAGGAGGTAAATGGAAATCACAACTGAATTGATCAAGTTACCTTTTTTTAAAAACAATAAATTATAAATAAAATTATGTCAATTTTTTAACGAACGAACGCTGCCGAACGCGGAGGCCGATTGTGCCTCTTTGTCGCTCGTTCCGCGCTCTCGCTTGCACTTCAAGCCTTAAACGGAACGCCTCAGAGCGAGGTAACGCCGCATGCGTCATGTTTTTTCGTTCGTGCAGCCGGCTCCATCGAATTATAAGACGTTGTCACGTCAAAAACTGGTAAATATAGGGTATAATAAGAGATAGGAAGTTAGGAGTATGATTGAAAGGGAAGGTTTCCAACACAAAGTTATATCATGATGATTTTTAATTAAATCAGGTGAATTTCAAGAGTCCAATAAAGTTAAATCGGTTCACGTGTTTACAGAGGGGGCATGTTTGGATACAATAAAATATGACGAAGAGCATTCTGTAATGGTTATAGGTTCTTAAACATATTTCGTAAAAAAAAACCTTGGCGATTTAAAAGAGTGAAGTAGAGTTTATTACCAGTTCTTATCGGCCGTTCTACGCTTTTGGTTGGAACTGGCAGTAAATTGTATATTTATATAATATTATATATATATATATATATTTGTAGAATATAGGTATTTGATATTGATTATTATATCAAATAATATGTAAAGAGAATCAATAATGTTACACGAATCATTTATCATTGATTATTCAATCGCTTTCTGATACACTTACTCGTAACTAAGTATCACAATTAGGTATATTCGCATGCGACTAGTCAAAGGAGATTAATTGAGTCAAATTGTACAATTTTGGAATTATCACAAATGTATCAAAAATGCTTTTAATTCGGTTAATAGGGATACCCTGCTGACGGAAATAACACAACATATACCGGAAATATACAATTATCTTCTTCTCAGTTACGCTGACCAACAAAATTGATATATCGTTCTAATGAACTGCCCTGCGATTCTGTAACTCACTTTTTATTGTTTATCAGAATGCCAAATCATAAAATGACTGCTTCTGAAAAGGTGGGAGCTTATAGTTTATTGCTTCACGACTGATTTGAGAGTGACCGCTGATGCGAAAACCGCTGTGTGAGTTCGAAAAGTGAGTTACAGAATCGCAAGGCTGTCCTCGGAAGTAGGTTGTCAACAGGGTGATCCCCTTGGGCCTGCAATTTTTGGTTTGGCTATAAACCCAATAATCAAAAATTTTAATTCTAATTTCAACGTTTGGTATTTGGACGACGGAACCCTAGGAGGTGACGTGGACACTGTGTTTTGGGACCTTTTTTTAATCAAAAATAAATTTGAAGCCATTGGTTTGGAGCTTAATTTTAGCAAATGCGAACTTAAATTTAAATGAAGTAAAACAAAAATTTTATATTTTGGCTCCAAATATTAAAATAGTTAACAGGAATTCCCTTTACCTTTTAGGTTCTCCAATTTTTGATGAATCTTTTTTGAATATATTAATAATTCAATGACTAAATTTCAAAATTCTGCTGGCCATCTCTTGAAATAAGCCCGCACTATGCACTTTGCATCTTAAAATTCTGTCTTTTCGTCCCAAAATTTACGTATGTGCTCCGTTGCTGCTCCTTTTGGAATCACCCAGATCTTTTGACACAAGTAGACGACGTAATCAAAATGAGCTTAGAATCGCTTCTTAATAGGCAGCTGAACGAGCAATCTTGGACCCAAGCATCCCTACCCATCCGTTATGGTGGTTTAGGGATTCGCAAAATTTCCAGTGTCGCTTTACCAGCCTTTCTATTTTCTGTCCATAGTTCAGCAAATCTCATAAGTAAAATTTTAAGGGCATCCCCTTCAAACTTTGAGATTGCTGGCTTGGAAGAAGCTAGAAACGCTTTCTTAATTGCATGCCCAGGTCGAAAATCTCCATTTTCTCTAAATTCACAGAGGAGCTGGGACGACATAGACTGCAAATTGACTTATGACAATCTTTTGAGCTGTAGTAAAAGTTTGGCGCATGCTAGGCTTTTGGCCGTGGGTACGCATGAGGCCGTCTACTGGCTTCACGCTTGCTCATCGTTAAATACAGGAATATTTCTTGAGCCTGACACGCTCCGAATTGCAACCGGACGGTATGAGTTTGATTCCATGGAAGATGGGCCGGGTGCTGGTATGAAATGCAACCTGTTAAGACACACTGGCCCCTTCCCATCTACATGGAACCAACAACAGAGCTGGTGCGGCTGAAAAAGCTAAAGCCTGCATAAAAAGGGGTCTAGGCTCCAAATATGATTTTGTCTGATACGGCTTTTTAAGGAAATATCAAAAAGGTTAGTTGACATCACAGGAGACCAAAGAGGTGGCAGCTACCTCGGACAAAGAATTAGTCTAGCGATTCAAAGGGGGAACGCTGCCAGTATCTTCGGAACCTTGCCTACAGGGACTCATTTTAGTAATATAGTTATTATATTATAAGTTTAGTTATTGTTTTTATTGTTCTTCTTTTTTGTGCATTTGTGTGTTGGAAATAAAGGATTTAAATACTATTTTAATATGTCTGGACATTTCTATTTTTGCTCAACCTTTTAGGCACTCCAACTATATAAACGTTTCGACAAATTGGTAGCACAACAAACTAAACAAAACTACGTTACGAGTTACGTTTAGAGTTTTTTGTAAAGAGAGAGTTTGTGTTAGTCTGTGTAACTTCGTGTCATGTTTGTGGCTTCATAATGGTTTGAATTTTTTTATAAATATTTGGTAAGTAGGTGAATAGGTCGTAAAAAATATTTCTTAACACATGATTATGGGTAGCCATTTTTTTGTTCACTCACCCTCATTTTTCTTACTTATTTTTATTTACCTACGGTGGCAATCCTTATGTGAAGCTTAGACAACTAACCTAATTACATTTAAATAATAGATAAGGTTTCCAACCGGTAAATAATGTTAAATAACAAATGCGTATTACGCTAATACAAAAACATCTCGTCAGATTAATTGATGTTTAATTAATTTTGACGAACTCTACCTCACTTCACTCTATCGAGTGATGAAACCAGGTCACAGGGGTGATAGAATTGATTCCTTAATATTACACGCGGAGCCTCAACTGTTTTGACAAATTTTTTATTTATTGGTTAATATATCATTTACTCATAAAGCTAGGTATTTATTTATTTCAGTAAGGTAGTGTGTTAACTAAAAGAACACGCAGTTCTCAAATGAATCTCATTCTTTTTAATCGTTTACAAAATGCTCCATGTTTCATTTTAAAATAATTATTAATCAGAGTATCCATAAAACTTTATTAATATAGTGAATGTTATTTTATATATTTACACATAAAACTGAGATATAAAAACCTACCAACAAAACAACAGCTATTAAATTAATAAAAAACTGAATGAATGCCCGAAGTTCACGTGAGATGAGATATAAGTGTTTTGCGGAACAAAAATGAAGTTAACGCAACGAAGATATTTAATAAAGTCGCCTGTTCAAGCCCTCGAACAAACTAATGTGATGCCATGATTAAATTAAAACGAAATTTGACAAAAACAAACGAAGTTAGAGGTGACTTTGTGATTTTTTTTGTATCGAGGAATTTATATTGTATTGTGTTTTTAAATAGAGTTAACCATTGAATTTATCTATTATATTGGGTCCTTACATATGAAATTGGCGTATATCGTACTGGCCACTTTAATCGCGATGTTCTCCTCTTTGGTAAGGAATTCCAAATTCAAATTTGTACAGCTATTTGCTCATGTATTTGTGCTTCGATGACCGTCATTCAGTTGTTTTTTCTTCTGTTTTTTCTGTTTGTGTCACTCATTTTAAAAATGGAAAACTTAAAGTATTGCATTATTATTTACGAGTACGAGTTCCGCCGTGGCACAAGTGCTGCGGAAACGACTCGAAGGGTGAATGATGTGTTTGGCGGTCATGTTGCAAAAGAAAACAGTTCGTTTTTGATTCCAACGTTTTGGTTCTGGAAATTTCAACCTGCATAACAAGCCCCGTGGACGGCCTGAGACCCAAGTTGATAATGAAGTACTGAAGGCTATTGTGGAAGCGGATCCATCGCAAACCACGTCCGAGTTAGCTGCAGGCTGCGGTGTTAGTGATAAAACTGTTTTAATTCACTTGAAGCAACCTCCTCCTAATACCTCACGAATTGACTGAAGCAAACCGGCAAACGCGCGTCGACTGCTGCGTTACATTACTGAACCGGCACAATAATGAAGGTATTTTAAACCGAATCATTACCTGTGACGAAAAATGGATTCTTTACGATAATCGGAAGCGCTCAGCACAATGGTTGGATCCTGGCCAGCCAGCCAAATCCTGCCCCAAGCGAAAATTAACCCCAAAAAAGTTACTTGTAAGTCTTTGGTGGACTAGTGCCGGTATTGTTCATTGCAGTTTTCTCAAATCTGGCCAGACTATTACGGCTGATGTCAATTGACAGCAATTCCAAACCATGATGGAAAAGCTAGCGGCTAAACAACCTAGGCTGGTCAATCGCTCCACGCCACTGCTACTTCACGCCACTGCTACTTCACGACATTAGAAGAGCTTTAATTGGAATGTCTAAGACATCCTCCGTACTCCTCGGACCTTGCTCCAACAGATTACCATTTTTTTCGAAATTTGGTCAACTTCTTGCAAGGGAAAAATTTAACTCTGATGGGGCAGTCCAAATCGCCTTCACAGATTTTATTGATTCCCGCCCGACTGGTTTTTTTTAGTAAAGGGATCAATGAACTACCTATGATATGGCAAAAGTGCATAGAAAACAATGGTTCATACTTTGATTAATTAAATATATTATATTTAAAAATATTCGACTTTTTGTTCCTCCCATACAAAACGCCAATTTCATATGTAAGGACCTAATATATATAATAATAATATTATTATGAAAGGTCAAATATATTTATGGTTTAATTCAAACATCACATGCTTAATAATTTCTGATTATGTCATTTGTCCCTGTATTTCACGGGTAGATATTTTTTTTACAATTATGAAGATATATCGTGTCTTTTTTTAAATAACCTGTCAACACAATATATATTTATAGTATATAGGTTAGTTACCGATATATACACAGACACATATTTTAAGTCGATTTAATTTTTCTAATATTTTTTTTTGGTACAGAACCGATACCGAGTGATGATCCATTGAAATTCCTGGGTGTTCCTCAGTGGTCCTGCAAAGTTGCTCGGATTTGTCAACCTCATCTTGACTATATGGGTAAGGAAATTCAGAATACGTATTGTAGTGTGGAAACAGCTTTATATCACTTTATAAAACTCCACTTAATAAATAAAATTAACTTTAAGTCACACACATCAATTTAAGTTAAATTATTGAAATAAAACAATTGAAATTTATTTTTTACAGCCAATTTAAATTATACAACTGATAATACACAATAAAGTACATTAAAAATTAAGTTTCACTATGAAAGAGGTTTTCAATATTTTCAGCCCCTGAAACACAAATGCGTGGGCTTGCCAGTACGGTGGCTGATATGTATGCACTGGGAATGATACTAGGCGCACTTTTCAATCAGGGTCGGCCTCTAATCAACACCAATTTTAATCCAATATTGTACGTGAAGCAAATGGAACAAGTAAGTCATATTGCTGTTTATACCGGTACTAAATGATACTTGTTTTGCATAATCTAGTTATTTGTTGATTTCATCGAAACAGTGTTTGGTTATCATTTACCCCGCTACGCAATGATATTGATAATTTTTAATCAAAGTCGACCAACCCCAAAAAGTTATTTTGTCCTATTCAAATATACGCATTCATTTGGACGTTCAGTAGACCAAAGCAAACTAAATTGGAAAAGGATCTCAATTTAGATCGACTTACCATAACTGTCAATGTATTACAACCATAAATGGCTTTTAATAAATAGAGGTTTTATCAAGTGATTATTATATATTAGTCTGAATTATAATAATTAAATAATTAACTTACCTCTATCAGCAAGATGGTGTAAAGTAGCACTTGTATTCGTGTGAAACAACACGCAAACACGTAAAATGTTACAAATATAGATTTGTTACTCTTATCTGTTGCATAGAAAACAGATAAAAACACCTATTATCTATCAGCATAATACGCGAGCAGATTTTTGTGTATTGTGCAAAGTTTAGAATCTAATAAAGGCACTCTTTTATTACTTCTCAAGAATGAATAATAAGATTTTCAATGGGAACATCTTGGATTCTTTCATTTATTGCTTTATGAGAAGTGGCGTGTGAGCTTTTATAATCGATTATTTAAATATGGGTTCTCAAGCTCCGACGCCTGTGTATAATGAGCCTGCAGGCGCCTTTAAAGCTTTTTGATAAGTCAATAGCAATCATTTTATCGAATGTTTAGACATGTTACCTGTCCACAGGCGGAAAGTGAATATAATTATTTTATGTCTTTAGCTGGATCGGAACGTTGCTGCATTAGTTAGCCGAGCTCCTGATTGTCTCCTTGAAGCTCTTCCCAGACTATTAGACCGGGACCCACAAAACCGACCAACAACTCAATTGATGCCACTCATCCCATACTTCAAGTTAGTAAATAGTATTAGATAGTAGTAAAAAATATAGCAGTAGTTGTTTCAACTGCAGAGCGTAAGGTCGATTACCGGATGCATTTTTTTTAAATTTTAATGCTACCTTAAAATACCATACGTCAAGACTTGTAAAAAACATTTTTTTAATTTAGTTTTACTAGCTGTTGCTTAAAAGCCATGACAAACAGAACACCAGATACTATTATCCTAGAGAATGAAAACCTAGAATATGTGACAACCTACATATACTTGGGACAACTCATCTCCATGACAGAACAAGCCCATCAGGAAATAGAGAGAAGAACCTCAAATGCCTGGAAAAGATTCTGGTCATTAAAACACATCCTAAAGAATAAAGAGTACCCACTAAGGATCAAAAGGAGCATCTTCAACACCTGCATCTTACCTATCCTAACGTACGGCTGCGAAACTTGGACCACTAAGCAAGTCACAAGTCAAAAGCTTGTGACTTGCCAGAGAAGTATGGAAAGGAGCATACTAGGTTACACACGAAATGACAGGAAAAGAGCTGTAGATCTCCGAAGGATCACCAACTGGGAAGATGCAGTGACCAGAGCCAAAAGGCTTAAATGGAGATGGACAGGACACCTGCTCAGAGGCCAGAGAGCAAAATGGTCGAAAAAAGTCACCCAATGGACACCTCGCTACAACACCAAGCGAAAGAGAGGAAGACCATGTGCGCGGTGGGCTGATGACTTCAAAAAAGCCACTGGTCCTCTGTGGCAAAGACTTGCCAGGGATAGGAAGCATTGGAAACAGCTGGAGGAGGCCTTTGTGCCACAAAGGCAAGCTGTACAAGAGGACAGCTGTGCAACAAAACCTTAAAGAACTTTTTTATATACATTTATATTTTGTAAACTCTTCTGTTTCTCTTGTATTAGTTGTAATAAAGGCTTTGAATCTTTGAATCTTTGGGCCGCCGTACACGGACTGCTTCAAGCAGTTGAGACCGACTGCTTAAAGCCGCGACCGCGCAGTGAACTATAGTCATTCATTCGCTGCCGTACACACGACTGCTCGAGCAGTCGCGACCGCTTCAAGCCGTCAACTGCATGATGAAATTCCATCGTGCCGTCGACCGCTCGCGAGCGGTTGCGAGGCATACACCGACTGCTCGAGCCGTTGACTGCGCTAGAGCAGTCGACAGCTCTCCGACTTCCCTCTCCCCCCCGCCCTTTGCGGCCTCGCGGCGTCTGTTTTCTCATTTGCCGGCTGTTTTTTGAACATGGAGGGCGTGTGCGATAGTGATGCCCTTATTAGCGCAATTAAAACGCAAGAACTTATTTGGAACTATAAACTTAAGGAACACAGCGACAAAATAAAGAAGAACAATGCATGGGCAATTATTTGTGCCCAAGTAATTGAGAACTTTGATGAAAAACCAGTTGAAGAAAAAAATCAAATCGGTAAGTAAAAAAGTCAGTCATTTAACACACACATTTATTATTTTATTTATTATTAAAAAACAGACTGGTAACAATATAATAGTTGTTTTGCTTCTTATTATATTTTTAATATTTAAAAGAATACAGAGGCTATGTTATACGGACGGCGCCCTTTTGATTTATATCATATTCCATTGCCAATCTAGTTTGCCTTCTTCGCTCACAAAGTAATTAGCAAATTCTTCACGGATTGTTGTTAACATAGGTCCACCTGGACGAACTTGCTGGGTTGAATGTATTATAGAATAAGGAAGACCCTCAAACGTATCCTCAAATTTATTTCCATCTCGTTGTTTTACGTAGTTGTGAAGAACACACGATGATTTTACTATATCCACTGCGAAATCAACGTTGACGTTGAGTGGTCTATGAAAGATCCGCCATTTATTAGCTAATATGCCAAACGTGCATTCAATATATCGCCTCGCACGTGATAACCGATAGTTAAAAATTTTTTTTTTCTCTGGTAAATTCTTGCCACCATATGGACGCATTAAATTTTCCTGCAAGCTAAACGCTTCATCCCCAATAAACACATTCGGTAATAACGGTCCATTTTGTGATATTGCAGAAGGTGGAGGTATATTTAACTTTTTTTCTTGTAACATTTTATATAGACAACTCTCTTCGAAAATAGTCGAGTCAGCGTGCCTTCCATATGAGCCTATATCCACGAAAGTGAACATATGATTACTATCACATACTGCTAGAAGTATTATCGAAAAATAATTTTTATAGTTATAATATGACGATCCACTTTGCGCGGGTTGTATTATTCTAATATGTTTGCCATCAACGGCACCGAGGCAGTTCGGAAACTGAGCATTTTTTTTGAAACCATTTATTATGTCTTTCCACTTATCTTTAGTTAGTTGTTCCATACACATATCCTTCATATGTATCCATATATTTCTGCAAACATCCCTCACTATCTTACCTATTGTTGTTGATGCTATTCTAAAACTATATTGCAAATCCATAAATGTACATCCAGTTGCCAAATACCTGTAAAACATATTTATAAATCAATCAATTATACTAACTTATATTTTTTTGTTGTTACAGCCATGTTAATACAGAAAAAATGGAAAACATTAAGAGATGGATACACCAGATATGCTAAAAAAAATTAAACCAAAGAGTGGTTCAGCAGCCCTCAACATTCGGCCATATGCATATTATCAGCAGATGTCTTTTTTTAAAGGCAATAATAGAAGATAGACCCGACAAAACAAATAGTTTACAAGAGAGTGAGCACACTGAAATTACGTCCGGAGAAACCGAAAATGGTCAAAATAAAATACCCAGAGAAAGAAACAAAAGAAAATTAACTACTAAAATCACAGATGAGAACGTCTTAATTGAAAAATTATCCAAACGTTTAGATGAAAAAACGCAGAATTCGCGCATTGATAATGAAGATGAAGATAAATTGTTTTTACTATCATTAGTTGGCGAATTCAAAAAAATTAATGAGCATTATAAATTAGATGCTAAGACCGAAATACTTAACGTAGTGAAATACTTTAAAGGGATGACAAATCACACATATCCTTCGAGTTATGGTGACAGGGGATATTCATCGTTTAATGATTATCGTGGACCATGGGGTTATAATACTGGCCCCTCTACCTCTACATCAGTGCCTGGTCCCTCTAGATCAGCAACCGGCCCCTCTACATCAATGGCTGATGACCAAAATTCTCAATTTGAAGACCTTTCATCATGTTCTGTAATGTCCGATGATGTAATTTCCAATATTTTTAATGAATAAAAATTTAAATAATTACTATATATTTTTCTTACCTCAATGTTACTGCTAGTCTTTCTTCAGGTTGGATACTTCTCCTCATAATTGTGTCTTCCCGTTTAATGTGAGACTTTAGTATATTATACAATTCATCAAACGAAGACTTTGACATTCTAAAATAGTTGAAAAATTTTTCTTCATCACTTCTAAGTTCCATAAACAAATGATGGAATTGTCCACGTTGTTCTCTTAATTGCAAAATTGGATGAACCCAAAATTTTCTCTTTTGACGTCGCCGCCGTCGTCTCCGCCTGAGCAGGAGCAGCAAAAGCAGTGCTTCCTCGTCAGAATCCATGACTCGACTATGGTAGAAAATCAACTGCTCGAGCAGTTGAGTCGTAGCTCGAGCAGTCAACAACCGACAGCTCAAGCAGTCGACGCCGACCGCTCGAGCGGTCCGTGTATTTCACTCAGCCGCTAACTGCTCGAGCAGTCCGTGTACGGCGGCCCTTTGAGCTGTTGCTTACTGTTTAGTTACATTTGTTAAAATGAATAGTTATACAACACACACGTACATAGTTAATTTGGATTCACACAAAAAGATTGCTTTTAAAAAAAAAGTGACTCCTAATTTAATGTTTTCAGTGAGTGGTTTTCAAGCCACTTGCCACCACTGTGGGTAGCTTCCAATAAAATATTTCCGAACCAATTGCAATAAGGGTCTTTAAGAAAAGAGCGTACTGATTCTTAAAACCCAACACACGGGTGTTCATGGAGTCTGACTGTCTATGGGCGTTAGTATCACTTAACATCAGGTGAGCCCCCTTCCCGTTTGCCCTGTCTATAAAGAAGGAATTAATTGAATGGCGTTGCTGAAATTTTGCCTTTCAACTCATATCCTTCGACGATTTTATCCCGAGTATTGTATTTTACTTTACATTCCCTTAAGGAAAATATGAGTTTATTTTTATTATTTACGGATTGATAATAATGATTTGGAAATAAATAAATCATAAATCCTCGTCATTTTAATCGTCCGCAAATACTTCTAACAGCATCCTCTAGGCATCTGCTGTAGATGTTATTACATCCGTTTGATTAAAAATCGAACGCTTAATCTTTCGTCTTTCGTTTAACATTCCCATCTCCTGAGGACTCCCTGAGGAGACTGAAAAAATGTATAATTAATTAAATTAAATTTACTAAAATCGCCCACTTATAATGTAGATTTTAAATAAGTATTTGTCTACTAAAAGTATTAATGGGTTTGTGCCACGATAAAGTATTTATTGCGCGATAAGTTGTGGTTTACTCATCACAACAGAAGCGTGCATTTGAAATTCAATTCTGAGCTTATAAGTCTATTTGAAATGACTGGGAAATGTTAATTAATAATAATGTGGTTTTGCTACTAATACGAACAATATGTATTCTTCACGTTATAATAAAGTGAAATATATATGCGAGGTTGATCCATTTTATGACATACCATGTCTTCAGGCGTAACATGCTACAGCCATTGTTCCAATAACAATTGCAGAGAAAAATATTAAATTTTTTTATTGCATGATTAAATATTGCTAATCAAATGATGAAATTGTTGTTTATTAAACTAGTTTTTTTATTGTATTATTTATTTGCACTGTTATAATTGTAATGTTGTGCAGATTTTTCATTGAGGCATGTATTGTGTTTTCGTATGGTGTGTGTTCTGTGTAAATGTCTGTACGTGTTACGTTAGTATGCCTTTTTAAAATAAATAAAATAATTTGAATTCTCACGAATAGTAACGACCCTTGTGTAATGTAAAACAATTGTAATGTTGAATAGTAATCCCGTTGGTCATCCTATGAAATCTCCTTACCCTTTAGTGCGTGATCCAGATGCATTCAGGTCATTCTGTCCAGAGACACACATTGACAAATTTTAGATCTAAACATAGTGTTTTCCTTTACCGAACGAAGAAGTGTACAGAAAAAAATCCATTGGGGAGTAGTCAAGGTTCTAGTAATGGTGTATTTATTTTACTGTTTCGATTTTACCCGCTTTAGAGACTATACCAAAAATAATATTGTCATTCATAGTGAACACACATTTAATTTTTGATACTACCGTGTAAAATTCTATTGATTATTTAGGTAAATTGATAAATAGCGAAAAAGGTAATATTTCAAAAAATGCACACATGAGGTGAATGGCAGAATTAATACGAGCATATAGTCTTTGTAAAATCTGTTTTGGGGGTAATTTATTATTTTATTTAGACTTTACTAAAATAAATAATATCATAAAGAATAAATAATAAAATCCATATTTACAGAATGGATATATAAGGTAGTAAAATTATTGCAATGTAGCCGCTGAGATCTAATTGCAACTGTATGAAAACGTTTCACGGTTTGCAAATTCGGCTTTCATGGAATTTAAATTTTCGTGTTCTGTGCAATTAGTACCACACCTATCCAAAAACTAGATAAATAAATTTTTGTACGAAAAATAATTCGTTAAAGGCAACATCTGTATGATAGTAGGTCCTAATTATTTAAGGGTTATGAACATGTATAATGGTTATCACGGCCGATTTTCATTCGACATATTAAATTTTTTAACACAAACAAAATAACGCTTTATCCCCGAATGAGTTGGGGCTACGTTTGAGATATTTATCAATACAAATTACTAATATAAGCGATATCCGGCTTGCAAACTGAAATCCCTAAGGTTTTGGTTATCGCTAAGTAGTATGGTGCAAGTCAAGAACGTATTTAATTTTGGCATACGGGAGCCATCGCGCTAAGTGTCAACTCTAAATTTTAACTTAAGTCTAAAAAACCAGAGAAACGGGTGATGTATGTGTCGAGTAGTAGTTACAGAGAAAAACTCAGCCGAAAGTATTCGAGGCAAATCGATACGGCACATCACCACATATTCTCATCTGTTCTTGTCACACGTATGTGTATATACTAATAATAAAATAGTTATAAAGCGTTTAAAAATCTGGCATTTTAAGAATTACTTTTTAATATTCGTTAGTTATGTGTTTTTTAACTTGACTTCTTATTTAAAATGTAAGTTTATTTCGCCAGCAGCGCCAGCAAGGTAAGGTGTTTAATGTTAAATGGCGAGCAATTAAGCTCAGCAATTTCCGTTTTCGCTTAAAAATACAGCTTTTATATAAGCTCCATTTGAAGGTGAAACATAAATTTTACACAACAAATGTTTTTGTCACTGAGTCTTAGCCAAATAGACCTGTTCCTAGGAAGTTGAGTGTAATATTTAACTTCCGATCACTGCAGGTCAAAGTAGACATATTTCTACGTCTATTTTGGTCTTTCATTCTGTGTCCACCACGAATACGTGGGTAACACTGAAAATGTTTAGAACTGGCCAGTTAGAAACATTGCTAATGAAAACTTTTTGAATTTCAATTTTAGAACTCTTTGGTAACCTAATGTAGTATATTGCATTAATTTGTCATTTGTTTTTGTGAATTGGCAGCAAATCTAAAACTCTTGTTACACGTGAAAATGAACCTAACGCGAGAAAATTTTAGGTCAATGATTTATTATGACTTTCGTTGTGAGCTTACTCAACAACAAGTTTAAGCGTTGACGTAGCAATCTCAATGATCATCCGCGTGAGGGACGTCTTTTAACAGCGACTACTGAAGATAGCATCAGTGCTGTGCGACGCATGATAGAGGAAGATAAGAGAGTGTCCTATCGGCTGATACGGGCAGGCCTAGGCATTGGTATGAGTCAAGTTCAAAAAATATTACACGAACATTTAGGCGTCAGGAAGCTTTGTACCCGATGGATTCCCTGAAATGAAAGCTGGATATATTGCTACGAACCCGAAACCAAAAGACAATCAGCTCAGTGGGTTTTCGAGGATCGGCCAACTAAGGTAAAGAAAACAGGAAGTCAAGGAAAAAGATAATTGCCTCATTCTTTGGTTGGAAAGGTAATTTCGCGACAGTTATGCTAGAAGATGGAAGGACAGTTACTGCAGACTGGTATGTCGATCGTTGTTTGCCTGTTGTCTTGGAAAAAATTCGACAGCAGTGCCCTCAAAGCAGAATCCTCCTTCACCACGACAATGCTTCAGCGCACTCCGCAAGACGGACTGTTGAATATTTGACTATGGCAGGTGTCGAAATAAGTCAACCGCCATGCAGTCCTGACCTGGCGCCCAACTACTTTTATTTATTCCCAAGAACTAAAGATAAAATTCGAGGTATTCCCTTTACGAGCCCTGAAGATGCGGTGAAAGCGTACGAAAATGCCATAGAAGAGACCCCTAAGGAAGAATGCCCAATGCTTTTCTCAGTGGTTCCATCGAATGCGACGATGTGTAGAGAGTAACGGAGATTACTTCGAAAAAGTATTGGCAACTTTCTACATTAAGCCGTTTTTCATTTTCTAAACATTTTCAGTGTTACCTAGGTACTTAGATATATACCGTGCAAAATAATTGGTAACAGTGTTGAATACCACCGCACTTTTTTGACGATACTAATTATTTAGGAGTCTCGGGGGACCTTCATTGGAACACCTCCAAGTGAGTTTTGTTGCGGAAACGCGTCTAAATATTTTTACAAAAAAATTTAAAGTTTTGTGTAATGTATTGAAATTTGTAAACAATCCGCCATTTTTTACTTTTCTATTGGTTATAAGAGATGTGACGTTCACTTTAAAAAATCGTGTTTTTAATTTATCGATTGTTAATAATCGTTTTTTTTTATTTATCGATTATTTCCTCATTTTTGAAATTTAAAGTTATAGAATAAACAACATTGAAATTAACCAAATTTCGTGTATTGTGTACTTGTATTTCATTGTTTGCAACTTTCTGTATTATTTAATTTTTACTAGAATAAAGTGTTTACTTTAATATCCAAAAAGTACCCAAAACCGAATCAGAGCACCCCACTATCCACGTGGTCTTGTCTGCCTTACCCCTAGAGTGTATATAAATAATCGGAGGCGCGTAGGAAGAGCAGCCCCACTGTGCTTTGGTACGCAAGGGTGGAGGGGCTGCATTTCCCGTAGCGCCGGAACTGTCCAAAAAAACCAATTATTATTTAGATCGGTTAGGTTAGGTTAGTATATTAATATTTATTTTTAAAATAACTGTTTAACTGAAACTGATCAACTATGATTGATTTTCAATTATTTTTAATATTACAATCGAATACAAAAATCGATTTTCGCTTTGAAAGAAATCGATTATTTTTCACATCCCTATTAATTTTATAAACGTAAACGGCCATTTTGAATGTGGATTTTGCTAGACTAGTGTGTAAACAGTTTTACAGTGCAAAATTTCCTATAGAAATCCGTTTCTTTTTTATTTTCACGTGAATGTTTTAGAAGCGTTTCCGCAGCAAAACTCACTTGGAGGTGTTCCAATGAAGGTCCCCCGAGACTCCTAAATAATTAGTATCGTCAAAAAAGTGCGGTGGTATTCAACACCCAACCCAAATAATTTTATGCTAGTACAATCATCAAGTACAGCCTTGAAATTCTGTAACTCACTTTTCGAACTCGCACAGCGGTTTTTTCAGCGGCGGTCGCGCTCAAATCAGTCGTGAAGCAGTCATTTTACGATTTGGCATTCTGATAAACAATAAACTACATCCTTATCAGATATCAGATATCGCTGTGCGAGTTCGAAAAGTGAGTTACAGATTCGCAGGGAAGTAACACTTTTTGTTGAACACAACTCGTTAAAAATCCCGATAAACTCAGTTGTTACGTGTCGAAATCTTTTCCAGGCAACATACTTCAGAATTTATCGAGCCTAAATACCAGAAGAAATGCTAAATGTTTCTGACATACGGGAATGATATTTAGCGGTAAATATTGACTCTGAATCTGACGGTTTGATTAATACCTCTTTCTCTGTTTAGGTGCGCAACTGATCCACCAATACAAGCTCTAGAGGCCCTAGATGCGGCGATTCACATGGCAGCTAGTGCAAGATGCGAGTACTACGTAGATCAATTGCCTTCGACACTCGCCTACATTCCAAAGGTAAATTGTAATTTTGTAGTCATATAAAAAAAATGTATTAACATCGCTAAGCGCTAATGAGAGTTTTTTTTAAAACTGATCATGACTATTTTTTGTTATTGTTAAAGCAACCTCCGACCGATCTAAGCGTCTGAATCAAACTATGATTCGGTTATATGAAAATGCTATCGAAAAAGCCTCATAGAAACTCATAGAAAATTACATAAAAATTAACTCTTTAATAGATTTTATTCTATAAATCGAATTTAAATAAAACATTATTATTTTGTACAGTTCAGTCCATTTTAGAGTTGATTATAATTGTAGAAGCAATGCCGTTGCTGTCGGCTGCCGTTTAATATCACAGAGCTTATAAATTAACGATGTCAGTCTGAAATCAGTTTAAACCCGTAAATAATTGTGGATTTTCGATTTGCCAATATTGCTATAAATTGAAGACTATTCGCAACTCGATAGTAGTGATTCTACGGTCAGAATTATTATTGAATGAAATTTATTAGCACTTTAGACTTTTGAAACTTAAATACCATCATAAAACGAACAGTAGTATGCTTATTACGCGTTTTATGAGTTATTTTTTTTAATAAATTGATTCCTGACCGAGACAACGTTGTAATTTAAGACTAATAAATAATTGAAGTCTGACTTAATTAACTAATTAAGATAATTAACACAAGAAACGCTCCAATAATACGACGCTATTTTCTTGTGTTCTATTTTGTAAGCCCATATAAAATGTTAATTGGTAGTCAATTCATAACGGTACAACCAAGCGAATTATGTTTTATAACATAAAAATACATTTTAAATAATCTACTCGTAAAATATATTTTGTGAGCTTTCATTTGTCATTATATTCCAGCTGTATAAACTGTACGTTCCAAACAATCTAAAAAATATTTTGGCCATGAAAATAACCTTTTGAGTCAAGAAGCTCCTTTAATGAGAAATATTATTTGTGTATTGATATACCAAACAGACTGCGACATCCTTATTTGATTCGGAAAACTACCGACTCAGATTATACATTAGGCTTTAATTTATGGTTAGTAATAATAAGAAATATTTCAGAAGGGTCAGTCATATAAAGTGGGAGTTTTTGAGAAGGTATCGGAACAGGTCCAATAACAAAAGACCATTTTGGCACATAATAACATTTTATATAGGTACATAAACAAAACACAGCTGCGTGGCTGCACTGCATATATAACTGAGTACAATTTCTTACAATAGAGGGTTTACCAAATCCATATTATGGTACCTAAATATTAACAAGGAAACTGAAACAATATAATAAATTTAAATAAAAAGAAGCCTTAACCATGGATATTAGAATCTGCATAACAAGTAAACAAATTAATACTATAGTGAAATTATGAGATCTAAAGGGAAAAGTCGCTTGAAAGCAAGATTAGGCGGAAGTAATCCTTTTTCTTGGAACATGTTTCGTTATCTGTAGTCTTAAGCTATAGGATATAGGATTGGACAGTCACCGATAGAGGTGGTCACCCGTGTCATCTTATTAAAATCGAGTGCAACTGTACTTTTCAAGAACATATTAATATATGTATATATTTAACATGCAAGAATGGAAATATGCCTTTAAGGCTAGGCTTATAGTTACTTTTTAACTGTAGGAATGGAATTAAGGTTTAAGTAATGAAAGCAGACTTTTCATCTTACAATTCAAAAGTGTACATCTATTTATTTCTACTGTATCGCGGCCATCTAGATACTGAGTGGTACGTGTGTTCCCCCGAACTTGCCAGAAAGAATGTCTATGGTTCATATTTATCTCTAACAAATATTATTGATTGTAACTAAACAATCTAACAATCAGTGACGCCAGGTCATCACTTGTCAGGCATGATCAACGTCCGTAGGTATATACCTTTATTCAGGCAATCATCGGAACGCGCGTAATATTTTTATTCAAAAGTATCCTATCCAATACAATAAAAATAAAAAATACAACAATACACTTTTATTCAGTTATTTTATAAAATCACACAAAAGTTTAACTCTGAAAGCATATCTCAGTGAAGCTGCCACAGGTATAATGCTTTTGTGTTTTAAAAATAAACCATTATGTAGAAGTTGAACTTGACTCTGATACAATTGTTTGTAAACAGTTTGAAAGCTTTGCGAAAATAGAATAAAATATGTCTGTAATATTGATTGTTCGCAATGCTTTGCGATTTCTGCAAATATTATCTCCGCGACTTCTATTGCGTATGTTCGTAATATATTAATAATATTCTTTTTTTTAATGTAAAGTAAAGAAATGAAGTTATGAATATATTTCTTGAAATAAAGTATTACCGCTAACTCAATAAATATATAAATTATGTTGTTTGTTGAAAAAATACAGGATACAAAAATAAATGCTAATCCATTTATCTATCCTCATTTCTGACTTAAGTGGATATTAAATAATAGCTTAATGTATTAATTAGTAAATAATACAACATTGAAATTGAAGCATAACTATCGCTATTTATACTGCTTGCGAAATTTGTTTCTTTTGTTTTAACGAATAATTCCTTTATTTTTCATTTAAGGCATGCTTTCGCCAAAGCGTGTAAAATATCTAAATAAAAATTAGGTAATCTCATGATACTGTCAGTATTGGTTGATATGTATTTAATTTTTATTTTCAAGTTAATAAAACCCATATAAAACTGTTTAAAGATTTTTCAATAAGATATGTTCTGTTAAGATATTTCGGTGATTTAGTATTTGTACACCATCAAAACGCGTTTCAGAAATTGCGTTGGCAGAACGTTTGGCCAGTTCTACAAGCCGAATTCAAAATATCAGACATGATACCGTCTGTACTTAAGCCAACCTTTTGGCTGATCAATGAGAGTACACCAGAAGAATTTGCAGACGTGATCTACCCTACTATCAGGTATACGATGTTATAACTGGATGTTTCCTTATTATTATTCAGAAAGTATCTTTTGTGAGTACCGAGTGTATCGCGTTTGTGAGTACACAAAGTAATATTATTATAGTCGTTGGTAAATTCAACGTCATTTAGAACACGGTAAATTTACACATCGGATAGTAACTACAGAACAAAGAATAACTCTTATTTGCTTTGTTCAAAATAGAGATTGAAATATGAGAAGTTATAGATTTCATCCTTGGTTGAGGTTCTGAGGGCTCGCACCTGCTTCGCAAAAAAGAACTCCCTCCCTGTGTCTGTTTTTCCTGAAAATTGTAACATGCCGCTGTTCAATAAAAAAGTAAATGGGCATATTTTAGACAGGCGTGACTTACCAACTTAGCCTGTATCTTACCTTCCTTCAAGTACGGTGCAGGCAAACACCTGTCAAGTTAAATGTAAAAGGCGCTTTCTTTATGAATATCCTTGAACGTATTTGAGTTTAAGTAATGTTTGATATTATTACCAACCTATTTAATATTTTTACTAATTTACTGTAAGGCCTACCTTTATAATGAAATAGGTATAATAGGTACAAGTACTATATTAATTATATAATATTTGTAGTGTCTATAAGTTGTTTTACTATAGCAATAACGTAACTTTACGTTTATAAAAGCGATTTTTTTTTAATTTTAGAAAAGTAATTTATTCACCAAGGGCGATACCAATAACGGTTGTACTTTTGGAGAATTCGCATATTTTAACAAAGAAATGCACACAGGAAGATGCGTTAAACGACTTATTTCCGATGATTTTTACCTCGTTGGATAGCAATTTGTACCAACTTCAGGTTTGTTATTCCTTTTTTATCGTTATAGACGATACACTACATACATTTTACTGATAAACCTCACTACACACGGCATTTCTATAAAACATGGACTAAAGATGACCAGCTTGTAGCCAACCACGCCCACGATGTTTGTTCTAGTTAAAATACAAGATCATTAATGAAACAGTAGTTATCAGTTATCTATTTAACTGTTGCTGATTTGAACATTATTTTCAGATTGCGGCGTTGATTGCATTGCAAAATGTGTCTGATGTGATACCAGACGATATCATGTATGAGTCCGTTGTCGTCAAAGTCAAGAAATTGTTGGACAAAAACACAGGAGATGTAAAAATTATTAACCTTGTACTGGGAGTGTTTGAGAAAATTCTTCCTCGTTTGGACAGTACTAGCATTCTCAATTACGTGGTCCCTACAATACTTAACATGAGATTGGGTGACCCAGATGTGATCAACCGTGTAGTCAGTTAGTAAATAGATATTTTTCAACTTTCTGTCTTTACTATCTGAAACTTCTGTCTTAGTATTGCTAAGCGAATGTTTTTGACTACGTACAATTATTTATATTAAGTCTTTGCGAATTACTTGTGAATATTGCGAATTATGTATGAAATTATTTTATATCAAATCTCACTTGTTACAGAGCTTTATAAAGCTATTATTACCGAAGAAAAATTCGGATTAACTTGCGATGTGATGGCGAAAGATATGATACCTAAACTGGCGCCGCAATCTGTGAATCCTAATTTAAATGTTGATCAATTCAACAATCTAATCGAGGTAAATTTTGTTTCTGCTTTCGGTCGCATAAAAACTGTATTGCTTCTCTATTTTAGTATAACTTTATTTATAGGTATATAGATTTATAAACTTTATCGTTAAAATATAATTAAATTAATGGTACAAATATTGACATGATAATCCCCAATTACAACTTGGTGTCTCCTCACTTCTACATGAGCATCAATTATATTGTAATAACTTGATCTATTGTTTAGATCTTATATGACATGTTGGAAAACATTGAGCAATACCAGCGTCACAAACTTAAGACGGAAGGTGCTTCGGCGCCAGGAAGCAATCGACGTAAGATTCGACAAATGAGCACTGAAAATGTACCGGCTCCACCATTTAACATTCCTAATTTGAGGGTGGAACAACGCCAGACCTCAAGTGCTGAGAACATGGTCCGAAGGAGTTCAGCTGCAACTGTTTCACAACCTGGAAGTGTGTCAGGAAGTGTGTCAGGAAGTGTAAACGCGTTACGGAGCCGTAAGTACTTTATAAAGTAACAAATCAAAAAGTTATTTTTTTACTTAAAAAATATATTCCATTAATAAACTATAAAATATAATATATATATAAACTGTTGATATTTTATCAGGACTTGGTCAGTGGATCTTTGGCTCGAATAACTCAACGAACAATGACGGGAATTTCTTGCGCGTCACAAGTATTTTACCCAATCGTCGTTTATCTGACAATACACTTATGACACCAAAGATTCGCATAGCGCCATCTTGTGCTTCCTCCCCTGGAGGTACATCCGGTGGCACTGCTGGACTTCCGAGTCGACGGCACTCAAGCATCGGACCACAAGAACGACGTTTATCTACTGCAAACCTATCACCGCCAACAGTAAGTGGTCCCATTGTCATGAAAGATGCACGCGACGTATCACAATGAAGTACCACTAAACAATTCATTAATTAACTTAACAGGAGGAAGAACCATGAACCAATATAATTGTCTATAAATATGTATTGTATTTTAGCATGCCCGCCACCCAAGAGGGCGAGGCTCGGGCTCCAGCTTATCTGTACCATCGACTTCGAGAGTTGGCGTAAGTTGTGATTCTCCGAGTATTTCTTCAGCGCGGTCCTGAGTCTTACTGAATGTCGAACGGCTTGAGATAAATGTGGCCTGATGGGTTCTTGTTCCCACACAGACTGGGATCGGCTCATCATCATCACCATTTAACATGTCACTGCACGTTCGTTGGCGTAATCATAAAGCGTTGTCTCTCTCCCACTCACTTCCATGAACATGCCACCTCTTCTATTCCTTCGTGAAGAAAAATAACTCACATCAACCTGTGATGCATGTTTAAGATAATGACTGGATCGTGATGCATGTTGCCGACCGCGTTGTAAGTCTATGTTGAAGAGTAGTTCCTCCTATCTGCGCCATTTGCATTTCTGTCATCAGCGAAAACATTGGTTGATGCCTAAATAAAATCAAATTGGCTCTTATTATTGGCAAAAACGTTTAAGTCTTGCAAATTCAAAATTTCATTAAGGTTTTCAGATAAACGTCCCTCATGGTTCGTAAGTTGTTGATAAAGGGGAGTTCCACCTTCACTCAAAGGGTAGACTTCGCAGGTTACACTTTAAAGAACCGGATTTTTCCTCACTTTAGGATAACAATTTTCTGGCACACATCACGACACTACCTACCACACCAAATAATTTCAAATTGTTTTTAGAATGTCTCACTGCGAATTCTACCTTATCGTAGTGACTTAGTACCCTCGCAATCAGGAATTTTGCTAATACAGGCAAATAATAAAAAATGTTTATCGCTGTCTCATTCACTGTTGCTATCTGTTCTTCCGCGCAGCTTGCACGGAGCATGATCGTGAGTATCATTCCTAATTCTTTGTTTAATAAATGTTCCTTCAACTATCTATCTATTATGACTTTGATAAACCTAAAACTTCAATCCATTAAAAAGTTATTAACCTATAAAATTATATATAATCAAAAAGTAAATCTGAAATTACATTCAGTAAATGTATGAAACTAAAACATATTTTTTTGGTTATCATTGAAATCTCTATTCAGGGTGGATCCATGCCGAACACATCATCGAGTGTTCCATTTCTGGCAACCGCTTCTTGCCGTAGACCTTCGGGCCAGGGGTCACAAGGTGGATCGCAAAGAGGATCGCAGGGATCGGGAATCCTCTCCAACATGGTAAGGCTCTTTCCCAACCACTCTGCAACTAGCAGCCCTCGCCGCACGCGCAACGGTTGGTTCCAAGGCAATACGAATTCCGCTTACAACTCTATCCGTCATTCTACCAACGTATTGACGAGGAAGTTTCCTTCCCTTAACGTGTTTGTCACCGGTATACAATAGACGTAAATTTAGTAAATCGATTATTCAAATATCTGTGTTTGGAGTGAATCATATTCCTTTGTAACATCAGACGATCCACATAACACCTAATAATTATGAGGTTCATCACTAAGACTAAGTGGTGACTAAGCCGGTGCGAAGAGAGTTTATCTCTCAATTTGTTGTCTATCAATTCTAAAACGAAATTTTATGATTTCATGCAATATAATAAAACAATACAAAATACAAATAAAGAAGAAAAGTTAAATTGTATTAACAAATGTGGCAAAATGATTTTTAATTTGGATTATAGAAAATTTAAACGATTATTTTCCAACTGAAATCAAATCTGATGGTACAAAGGACAATAACTAAAACAGCTTATGGCACCTATTTTAACAAAGTCACTGCATAAACTCACACAAAAGAATGATTTTAACGGTTTACTTCTTGTTCGCTTTTACAAATAACGATCTGTACAAAACTGGACATTAGATACAGTTTGAAATGCGCCGTTATTTCTAAAATGTGCCATATTTTATGTACAATTTGAATTGTGCAGGAATAGCGTCAAACAACTATAAAGGCCCCTTATTCATAAATAATTCAGTTTTTCACTTACTCATTCTCGATGTTGTGTACGCTGTAAAGAAAAGAGACAGAAAAGTTTTGTTAAAACTAAACTGTTGAAAATATATACTGAATAAGGCGGCTAATCTTTACGCGAAAAATTAAAGAAGAAAATAAAAAAAAATCTACTTTTAAAGAAAGCTTTGTGTTCTGTATTTAAAGGCCTGTATTCACTTTGATTAGTGCGAGTGCAAGTGATTAGTGCAGGTGATTAGTGATTAGGAGAAAACAAGTGTGGACAGCGACTGATTAGTGCAGGCGAGTTGGCTGCGTAGTAAAGTCTGCGAGTAGAGACGTCGCGTGCGCCATCGCAGCGCATCGCAGCGCCTGCACTAATCAGTCGCTGTCCACACTTGTTTTCTCCTAATCACTAATCACTTGCACTCGCACTAATCAAAGTGAATACAGGCCTTCTAGGTGTTCCTGGACATGTTAAATTATTTATTCCTAAAATTGTAAATTTTAATAAATTTGTGACTTTTTCCTTAATGTTAGTTTCTATTGATGTTGTTAATGTACATGTTGTTAATGTGATGTTTTTGCATTTCACACAACCTTCTTTCTCCCTTCTACTCTTCCAACTTTCTTCTCATTTGGAATTTTATTTACACTAAGATTTATTTCATTTATTTTGGGAAGACACGGGTATGAAATGTAGAAGTTGATGATTTTCTAAATTTATAATAAATATATAATTATCAGGGATGGATCTGTGATAGAGTATTGTAATATTATATCTTAATAATGAAAAAACATTCCAAATGTAAAACGCTCAAACCATGTTTATGTTAAATTCATCTGGATTTTTAGGTCGCAATAAATGAGATATTCTTTTAAATTAATAAACTTAATTAATGCAACGCATTTATTAAATATGTTAATTACGCGTGGATACCAACATTATCTTGCTTATTTCAAATATGTCTAACTCATTTTGGATAAACCTTAGTAAAACAATCTATAAACACACGTATGCATTGTTACGTGTACGTTGTGCGTACACGTATGCACGTGTACGCACAACGGACCAATTAGGAGTCTAATTGCGGAAAAAGGAGTCCTACTACCCTAACGTATGCATAATAAAATCTAAATTTGTCTAATTACAATCTTTTAACTAATGCACTCCTTGATTTATTTCTGTCAAATTGTGTTAACATTGTGATGAAAAGAGACAGTGTACTTTAGTTAAAAAGGTGTAATAAGACCGGATTTTCTTACTTCTTTGATTCTGTGACATATGCATCAAATAGTTACCTGTCAACTGTCATATTATCTAACAAATAGCCCAATTATTATTTATGTATTAGCACAGTGAGTTAGGCTTAAGTTGGCGAGTTAACGTAATTTCGAGGAGTTACCCTATTAGGTTCTTAATGGACGTTTTGAAAAAATATATTCTCGTAAATGGGAAATCAAATTAAATTTAGTCAAACATGGGTGTTTTCTCATCGCTCTAATTTACAGCGATCTTTTAAACAGACTAAAATAATTTTTATTCTATCTTGTTATTTCTTTATAATTAACCTTAGGACTATGACTGAATAATGTGATGTTAACGATCCTTCAAGATTTAAATTTTGAAACTAATCGTTCATTTTCATACTATTTTCTAAATCTATTTTATTTAAGTTGCTTATTCGCTTCACTGTACATTCGAGCGTTTTAGAATACCGTAGTGTACGTAGATAGACAGTTAAATAAATTAAAGGGTCAATTTTGCTTCCGGGAAGTGGTAGCGATTGCCTTTAGTAAATTAAGCAGGTAAGTATTCCCCTAAATCTTCAAAACGTAGAATTTAAATTTTAAATTTAGAGCGTAGAGTTCGAATTTGATTTTGCGTAATTGTTTAATTCGCGCGAATTAATTTCAATATTGTGGTTAATTTCAGCAACAACTGTTTACCGGACGCTCATAAAGAATTAAATTACGATTAACTTTGTTAAACGATTGGTCATTTCGGAAACTTCAGATGACGTTAACCGCTCGACGTCTTCATTATATGGAATCATCGCTAACTGGCTTTTTACTTATATTATCGCCGTAAATAATGATATAAATTTGTGTCGCTTTTTCAAACTGTCGGAAAATTCGTTCGAGTTGCATAATCACAAAACTATTGACTTATGTTTAACTACGCATGCCATTTTATAATGTATTATATTATTTTATACTGTGCAATTCGCCTTTTCTACTCAATTACTATTTTCATCCTAGAAATCTTGAGGGAATCGTAGGTGCGATATTTTTAACTAGGTCGCAGTAAGTGTTAGTGTAAAAAGGAAAATAAATATTTCATATTTATTTTAAAATTAATATGAAGGGTGAAACGAAAAAGGAAGAGAAGGGAATGTCAATAGTGTAGCAAAAATTTTACTATTGATTTAAAAATGAATAAGACAAAGTCTTTAAACGATTTTAGACATTAATTACCTGTTACAAATTAACATACCTATGAAACGTATCAAAGCATCGAGCCAATATTAATGTATCAGTAACCATGATTGACCTAAGGGTGAAGTAAGAGTATTTATCATATCATTCTATCTATAATTTTATCCATGTTCTTCCTATTCCTATTCATTGCCTTTTATTCTTGTCAATACCGACACTTAACTATTTCAAAATAGTGTCGATAAGCTTAAGTCACTTTATGGAGAACACTGAGACTGTTGGATTTGATTGTCAAGATCTGTGGTGGCTACCACCTATTAGGTCCAAATATGGATTTATAAGTATTAGAATAGGTACCTAATGAAGATGTCCAGAAAGTGAGATATAGTTTTAAGATATTAAAAATATATCAATTTACACATGTGGAAAGTTACAGTGTGAATGCCGAATGATTTTTTATAAAGGCGGGTACAATCTGGCACTGAGTAAAGAAGCTTTTATCACTGTAATTTTACATATACATATATAGATGTATGTAGTCATATCGATGTTGTGATCTCCTAAGATTCTATGCCTTTATTAATCTATAAAGATTTATCTTTCATATATAATATTAAACTTTCCGATACGTTTATTTTTTAACAAAATTGTATCTAAGGTTGTGTCATAGCTTTTTTTTTAATCAGTTTTATATACTCTTATACATTTAGTGTATCCTAGATTAACACGATAATCATTAGTAAGCAAGAAGTATTTTTATGCAACAAATCCGTCCATCCTATACCCATTATGATTACCAATTATTTCGTCCTGATGCCCATTTAAAACACTAACTTACGTATTAAGAATATAAATTCGACCCCATTACACCCTTTTAACAAAACCGCTTATTCCCATCATATCGTTAACAATTTGAGGGAAACCAAACATGGAGTACTTAAGTTAAATTAATTCAATTACACTAAATCAGTTTTTATAAATGCAAGGAATCATTTATTTATTGATATTTCATCAAAGTTTCCCATATTTCTATACACATCGTCTTTAACATAGTTAACGTTTGTTTGGGAAAATCTTAACACTACTTAGGAACTTTGCCGTGATTTATTCTTAGGCTGACAAAAAATTAGGAAACCAGTGATTAAATCACAGGCCCAGCGATGTTAGAATACGTTGTTAGCACAACACATTCTAAAAGAAAATTACATTAAAAAGAAATTACTATTTTGAATGTGAACGGATGTATGTCCTTCCATTTTAGTTTCAAGCACACTTATGTTCATTATTTTATTTATATTATTATTATTTATATCATTTTATTTTATTAAAATAATACTTAACGTACAAAAATCGATTGCTCTTCTAAGGGGAAATATCTAAGTACTGTCTCGTTTTTACATTATTATATATGTATAATATATAATTATGGTATAATTAAGTTATTCGGCATTCCTTGATATTCTTGTTTTAACATATGAACATAATCAAGTTAATGTAGCATATGAGGACGGTAGACGGATCCAGTCCAGTTTTTCTACTACCGGTATTATTAAGGCTATTTAATGATTTAATTTATCTAACTTTAAATTTGAGAATTCTAAATTCGATTACAGTAAGGATTACTTTAGGGTATAGATCAAAAAGGGAAATACAAACTTCTTGCTTACTAATGATTAAATCGACATATATATTTATAAAAAATTTCTACGACATACCTTTTCTACTCTAGGGACTGTTTTTTCAAGATTGAAATGACAATACATTTTTTTTATTCTATTGAATATTATTTTTATACTCAGTATACTTGTAGATTTATAATTTCATGCTAGAGCTTAGTTTATTTTACATCTTACACCTTCCTAAAGGTGACATATTTTATAATGTATCACTTCTATCTTTCCATGTAACGATATAATTGGTGTTATAATCAAAAATGTACAATCAAACTTGGTGTAGCAAAATATAAATGTTAAGCGAAGTTTTATCACGAAAGAGGT